TCCACATTGCGCATTCTATCACCAAGTGAGAAAAACTATGCACAAATTGAGCGTGAAGCACTGGCTCTGATTTTTGGGGTCAAAAAGTTCCTCACATACATGTACCTGATTGGTAGGAAGTTCAAGTTGGTTACAGACCACAAGCCTCTGACAGCCATATTCAATCCACAGGCCTCAATGTCCACCTTGGCCGCAGCGCGAATGCAAAGATGGGCTATCATATTGTCTGCATACACTTGAGTATTGAGTATAGACATTCAGTAGACCATAGTAATGCTGATGCATTATCTAGATTACCGAGGCAGGTAGACCACTCAGATGTGCAGGAGGTCAAATATTTTTCATATTTAGAGGAGTTGCCGATTACATCCGATGATATCAGTAGAGCCACTAGAATAGACCCAGAGTTATCCAAAGTGTATGACTTTGTAGCAAATGGTTGGCCAAGTTTTGTTCCAGATGAGCAGATGAAACCATATTTCAGGTGTAGAACTGAATTAACCATTGACCAAGGCTGTATTTTGTGGGGAATTAGAGTAGTTATTCCAATGAAGTACAGAGACAAACTCTAAACGACCTCCATAACCAACACATGGGTATGTGTAGCATGAAAGGCTTAGCACGCAGTTATCTGTGGTGGCCAGGTTTAGATAAGGACATCGAAAACCTTGTAAATGCGTGTACGACATGCTTGTCAGTCCGAAATACTCCCCCAACCACTCCACTCAAAACACGGGAGTGGCCCACCCAGCTTTGGCAACGGGTGCATATTGATTTTGCTGAGCAAAAAGGTCAGCAGTTTTTTATTTTGATTGATAGTCACTCTAAGTGGGTAGAGGTTTTCTCAATGAAAACTATCACCACTGCAAAAATCTTGGATGTCTTGAGGAGGTTATTTACCTCATATGGACTTCCAGAGGAAATTGTGTCAGATAATGGGCCACAATTCACTTCTGCAGAATTCAAGGAGTGTATGGAAAGAAACTCGAGTGGCACCATACCATCCTGCTTCAAATGGAGCAGCAGAGCGGACTGTACAGATTGTCAAGAGGGCACTGATCAAACAAATGTTAGATCCAAATCCAAAAAAGCAACATCTCTCTTCATACGTATTGATGCCCATCAACCATACACAGACTTCATACGCATTGATGCCCATACACAGGCTTCATACGCATTGATGCTCCTCAACCATACACAGACTTCATACGCATTGACGCCCATACACAGGCTTCATACGCATTGATGCTCCTCAACCATACACGGACTTCATACGCATTGATGCCCATACACAGGCTTCATACGCATTGATGCTCCTCAACCATGCACAGGCTTGGCACATAGATTTTTTTATATAACAAAGGTGAAGTAAGATCAAGATTCATTTTATTTTACTAATTGGTTTGTGTCATTTTATTAATTTGCAGATTATGTACAAGAAGAGATGCCATCATTAGAGAAAAGTGATCTTTACTTTCAGCTCTTATTGGAGACAAATTGCATCTCACCATGTGATGAACTTTTCACGCTGTTTGTATTGAATGACTTTGATTGCGAGAATTTTCAAATGAAGGTAAATGTTCAATTTTTCCTGTTTAGGGTTTATTTTTTATTTATTTTTTTTCTTATGACATGCATATTACCAATTCAGAGGCGCAGAACTTCATAATTCTTTCTTTTTTGTAGATAATGCATTTTACACAAAAATCTACATGTACATTGTTGGAAGCCCCATAACACAGCCGCCCCCATTATACATGTGGTATCATTTTTGGTATTAAGTGAGATAAACCCTTTATAATTGAAATGAATCCAGATATTTTTTAACATAGCTTTTCTATATCAAATTGGCACAAGTCATTGCATATTGATTTGAGTCTTCCTAAGCCAACAACTCTGAATAACCTAGGATTTCTTGACATAATTTGAGTCTTTCTCATTTCAAAAAGATTTTGGAAGGCAAGTTTTTTGGTTTTTTTTGTGAATGCCAGCCGAAATTATTCAAATGTTTTCGTAATCTCCCTAAATTTAAGTTGACTTGACTTTTCCAAAAAAGGCTCATTTGGTTTTGGTTTTCCCACATCTGCTTTACAGACCAATAATTTTTTATTGATAAGAAGAAAAGCAATGTCCATGAAGAGATGTTTGTGTCACTGATGAGCGTGTGCCATTTATCAGTATCTTTTTGTTTGGTTAAAAGTGTATAAAGTCATTTATTTTTGCCCATTTTGTTTACATTTTCCTGCAGATGTGTTTCCCCAGGGAAGGATTTCCCCGAATGTTTACACATTATGGGCCTAAAGTGGATTTTGGTTGACTTTGATAATCGGGCCACAATCACTGCTGCTTCTCATGGCCAAGGTACATGTACAAACATGAATGCTGTTTACGACTTTTCTTGTTAGCAATTTAACATGCATATTTGCAGCATTTTGTGAGCATGGTACATGTTCTTACCTAATCTCCTGGTATCCTTACTTCATAAAAAAATGATCCATTGCTGGTCATTGTACTTTTAATTTTTGACTGATGCTTCATGTATTCTGCTAAAGGACTGCAGTGCTAGGCGGCTAGCAAGTTTCCTATTCAGTGCTGAATTTGTTAACAGCCTGCAGCTGTATCTAAACAAATGCAAGATGTGTCAAATGGGATCATAGTATGTAGACATGAATGTGTCATTAATGACCTTGGAGACAGTGCCACCATTACTTTCTGTTCTTGAAACAATTTTTATTAAACATTTTTTAATTGCTCTTGCATGTTTCCTTAATCAGATTTGATATCAGAGAAAAAGATTCAGTCAGTGAATTGGACATTTTTCTTAAGTGTACTGTTTGATAAATTTGGAAAACGTTCAGGACTTTTCATCATTGGGATGACCCATAATGCCCTGATAACCCCACCCAAAAGAAAAAAGTGTTCATGCACTTGTGAGTTATCGCATGCTGTTACTGTTGCGGGTATTGAATTAGGTTGAAGTAGAGATGCATTGTTTTAAAGGTCATTTGACTTTTGATGAATCAGACTTTTCAATAAGTACAACAATTATTGTTCAGTATCATGTGCTCTTCACCAAGCTGATGTGTTTTTCCTTTTTGTGTTTTGCTGTGTTTTTTTCATTATTTTAAAATGTTACCATTTCAGGCATTTGCTACGGTTTTGAGATTATGGAGCAGTTTGAATCTCCAAATGTTCCTTTCACTCTGTTGCTACCCGTTTTTCAACCAGTGAGTCCACACTTTTTTTTTAAAGTTTAACCACAGTTCGGGAACATGGGTGACAAAAGATTTCGCTACAGTGTCGCTGTAATGAATTATCTTAGATAGGCGTTTGTGTATCTTTGCGCTCTTCTCAATGTGTGATATGTCATTTATTCAAACTTTTATTTATTCACAACAGTTGCAGTGCTTAGTGCTCTGCAAATAAAAAGGAATTATCAAACTCGACGGAATGTATTTAAGCAACATCAACAAAAAATAGAATACATATTTATCTACAGACTGTTGTAAATTTGAGGCTTTCTCTTTCGACTTACATCATATTATTGGTCAGGAATATGACCTGACCTGGACTATAAAAACACTTTTTAGCTTAAAAACAAAGATGCATTGGAATAACCCTGAGTAATACCTTTTAGCAACACAGGAATGCACTTTGTAGGTCCGTCTTGGTCTTAGAGAAATTGATTGCAGCTACCCAAAGAGAAATTCCTTGCAGGTTTTTTTCCCATGACTACTTTAGGTAGACCATCTATGTCAAAGGATAGAAGTGGTTTGGAGGGGGGGGGAGATTTCAAAAAGAAAGTTGAGTTAGAGACTTATAGATTGTGCAGTGCTAATTTACATTTAATGGAATTCTCATCCAGTAAGTTTCAGAGTTTTCCAACAGCTGTTCTTATTGTAGAATATTCTTAAAATATACAAGGACTTTTTGTTTTGGGTGGGTCTGAGCTTACGTGTGATACTTCCAGTTCTGTGCTGAATTTTGAAAATAGATGTCATTCTGTAATAGTTACTCAGAGGTGTTAACGCACAACCTTTTTGCACTCTTTTTATATTGTTTCAATGTTTTTCAGCTCCTGCAATCGTTCTTTATGACAACGTTTGCCACTTGCACTCATATTGTCTTAACCGAGAACCTCGCCATTTTCGAAACACAAAGTTCCTCATCGACCGTTTGCACTGGCCTAATCATACAGGTAATTGTTGTGCTTGTCCGTAGTACAGATTACCTCGTGAAGTTTAATTTGTTAAAGTTTAGCTGTATTTGTTTTTGATTTTGTCGAATGTTCCTTGAAAATACCACTTCAACAGAACTATGAAGTGCTGTGATAATTGTGATGGTTTTATTTAGTTGTCTTGCCCGACATTAAATGTAACTTTTACTCCTCTGACATTTTTCTTTCTTTCTCATTGTGTATTTTCAGCATGTTCAAGTGGATATAGACTTGATGCTTACCCACAGTATAAGATGCTGAACAGTCAAGTTGCAGAGCAAATGAATGCAAGTCTCCAGCGTATCAAGGTGCAGATTTCATACATGAAACAGGACAACTTTCTATGGCACTGTCGATTATTGATGTGGTGGAGAAACTCAAAAAAACTGAGTCCGAAGTAAAAGAAGTTTATCTTCTGTATCAAAGTATAGTCCACCTGAAATTTGTCAATGTTGTTAAC